ACCGAAACGTCGTCGTCCCTTCACCTTCTAGTGTGTAGTCTGGTCATCAAAATTTCACGCTTATTAAAGCGTGAGAACGGACTGACTCTTGGCGGGGCTGTCTGCCTGCTCACCTATCCGGTTACTGGCCGTACCCACGGTGTTATTAGTCTTAACTACTGTATTGAAATTAGATCAATGTACTCCTCCAACGCGTCCTTCTAATAGAACGTCGCATTTTGACGTACACTCTACCTAAAGCCAAAAATTGTCGTACTAGAAAATGGAAGCGGCTCGCGAAATTGACATACTGTTCCGTTTTCTGTTTTGGGTCCTCTGGTTAGGTTAGGATAAGGGGGCATTTTACTACGACAGTTTCTTGATTTTTGGAAACTTTATTAGGACGGGCTGACTCCTCAGCACATGAGGAAATACTGTAGCCTAAGGTGGCCAAGTCAAACGTTAATTGCGTACTAGTGGCTTTAGGTATTGTATGTACTACCTCTATCGTTAAATCTAACAGAATGTTTGTACTGTAACTCTGCAACTATGTATGTACTGTTCCTAAATAAATTATTATTATTATTATTATTATTATTATTATAATTCCATTAACAATGTAGCCACACGTACTAGGATAGAATCTATTCTTGCTCGTATTATCGTCTTCACCATGTCGTGTTGTAGAACTATCAAAGTTGCCTACTTCTTCCATTAAGTAATATGTTATATAGACGGTTTCTAAAGCTGGTCAAAGTAAGCGTGGGATGCTCTACCGGCCACCCCCCCCCCTCCCCGGGTTCGATCCCCGGCGAAGGCGGAAACAAATTGGGCAGTTTATTTTACCCTAATGTCCCTGTTCACCTAGCAGTAAATAGGTACCTGGGAGTTAGACAGCAGCTACGGGCTGCTTCCTGGGGTGTGTGTGTAACAAAAAGTAGGCCTGGCCGTGGACCGGGCCGCGAGGACGCTAAGCCCCGAAATCATCTCATGATAACCTTAAGATAACCCCGCTTCCCTGCCTCGTAGCACTGCCACTAGAGTTGGGAGCTAACAGGTGAATCCTGGGGCCAGATTCACGAAAGAACTTACGCAAACACTTACGAACGTGTACATCTTTCCTCAATCTTTGACGGCTTTGGTTACATTTATTAAACAGTTTACAAGCATGAAAACTTCCCATTCAACTGTTGTTATTGTTATAAACAGCCTCCTGGTGCTTCGAAGCTCATTAGCTGTTTAATAATTGGAAACAAAGCCGCCAAAGATTGAGAAAAGGTGTACAGGTTCGTAAGTGAATGCGTAAGTGCTTTCGTGAATCTGGCTGGAGGTCCAACAGGTGAGGTTGATGCACTGCACTTAGCAAGCAGGACGTGGGTCCAGAGTGCGGTACGACACTCTCGCCAAATACCAAGTTTCCGTAACACCCTAAAATCATTACAGCGCTCAAAGCCAACAATAATTGCTTTTATTTTTTTTATAAAAATAATAACACCTTTCCCGAACAATACTGATTACAACGAACACGATATTTTTTTTGACCGAGATAAGTTTTTTTTTTCCTTGGTGCAATCTCTCGTTTTTTTTTTTTACTGGACGAATCTAATAATAGGCTATTGCATAATACTTATGTATGCTACTTAAAGCACCGATAAAATAGAACAAAATGTGCGTGTGCTCAAGTACACGTACGCATCCTTATATTATTAAAAAATCATTTTACTAAAATATGTTTTCACGTTTTAGTAATGATTTTCCCTTCTTCAGATTAATTAATTTAAGAATAAATATAAGTTAAATAAAGCTGTCATATCCAAGAACAAGAAAGAACATTCCATTACTCCAGTACACAAGCGTGTACCTAAGTGCCCAATCTGTATATTATATATAAAACTAGAGATTTAGGCCCGAGAAAAAGCAATAGGCTTAGAAGTTATTCAGATTGTAAACATTGGGAAATCATGTTAGTCTATTATCTGACGGATATTTATATCTTCAAAAATTTCCTACGAATCTTGCTACTGTTTACAGGGTTTCAATTCGCTGGCTGGCTTCTACTGGTTCTAAAACAGTGGAGGCTGACTGCTGTTGATTCTTGGGCAGTGTTAGCCAGCTATGCAATGCCAAAAACGAATGTCAGTCAGTATGCTTTTGTTTGCTCAAGGGCAGGATGCCTATGAAGAACAATTAAACTGGTAAAAAAGACAAACTTTTTGGCCATAATAAACTTGTTTGTGGTAGACTAAGATACACCAGCCAATCAGCAATGCTCAAGCTTAGATGATTACCTACCATCACCACGACTGGATATGATAAGACTGTCCTGGAGAAGTCTTCCGTTGAATGTACTATTGCAATAGTATCATTAAATGGTTTTCTGATCTTGTTAAGATTGAAGACCCCGTAACATCCAAATGACAATAAAGATGCAATCTACAATATCGTGGGAAATAACATTTAATTCACTTGGATCGTCAGAAATTTGAACTCGGTCCTAAAAATGATAAAAAGGAAATTACGACACTTGATCTGTTAGGAAGCATTATCGCAGCAATACACCACACGACATTATACTCCTCAAGTAGCTTGGTAGCCACTTTCCCCAGTGCAATAAGAGTCCTCCCACTACTAAACACTTAACATCTCCCCGCAGAGAAGATGGAAAGACCCTCCGCTGCCGTGCGAGGCGGTGCGTAGGATAAACGTATAAATTGCGACACTACCTCTCCACATATGTCAGTTGCTTAAAATAGAAATTGTACCTGTGGTCGGTCTCGAACCCATTGATGATATGACGATGTGCACTGAACTTTGTAACTAGTTCATCAAGATTGTAACTTGCTTAGCTAAATGAATTATGGGGGTTCAGTCCCATATGCCCCTTTCCACTACCGCCCACAAGATGGGTATGGGGTGCATAATAAATGAACTATACTAAAAAGTCATCTTGTACTACAAACAGGACCTCCATACACCAGTCCTGCACTGGTCCTGGCGACGTTCCAAGAACCACTGAACAAGCTCACAATTCCCGCGTTGCAGGTTTTTTGTCCGGTCTCACTCCAGCCAATGTGCACAGAGACAATATTAATGAAAGAAATAGAGGCAACAGCACAACATTCGTAGTCAAGATGCTACAATTATCTTGGACTTCTTAATCACGTCCATAGTAAGATGAGAGTGGGTACTGGTTGGGCAGATCTAAATAAACTGTTATTCGTTGGTTATTCCTCTTAAGTAAAATTAAAACCCCCGCCGGACTCCACAGGTAGAATACTCAACAGCGCAGAGAGAATACCAGTATTTCTGAAGATAACGATCGAAATACTTATCATATAGTCAATACATCACGTTTTATCTGCTAAACTCGCTTGATTAAAAACGATTTCTTGGCAATTAATGATATAATGGTCCAAACAAAACCTCTGAGTTCAAGACAGCCTAAAAAAAACTTGCTTCCAGATGCATAAACTGTGGTAAAGGTCAACATATATTATATATATATATAACCCTTTGGTTTACGTGAAATACCACGGCCAAGCATCTGTGGCACAAGAGTGTACTCACCTAGTTGTGCTTGCAGGGGTTCAGCTCTGGTTCTTTGGTCCCGCCTCTCAATTGTCAATCAACTGTTGTACAGATTCCTGAGCCTACTGGACTCTATAAAATCTACTTTTGAAACTGTGTATGGAGACTGCCTCCACCATATCACTGCTTAATGCATTCCATTTATTAACTACTCTGACACTGAACAAAATTCTTTCAAATGTGGCTCATTTGGGTACTGAGTTTCCACCTGTGTTCCCTTGTTCGTGTTCCACCCGTGCTAAATAGTTTGTCTTTGTCCACCCTTTCAATTCCCCTGAGAATGTTGTAGGTGGTTATCATGTCTCTCCTTACTCTTCTGTCTTCCAGGGACGTGAGATTTAGCTCCCTTAGCCTTTCCTGGTAGCTTATACCTCTCAGTTCTGGGACTAGTATAGTGGCATACCTCCGAATCTTTTCTAACTTTGTCTTGTGTTTTACTAGGTATATATGGATTTCAGGCTGGAGCTGCATACTCCAGGATTGTTCTGACGTAAGTGGAATACAAAGTTCTGAATGATTCCTTATACAAATTCCTAAAGGCCGTACTTATGTTGTATGTGTTGTGAATATACACTTGGATAATCACCACATAGATGTTCATGACATCAGTAGGCCTATTTGGCTTGCGAGTATGCCTAATCACCCCAGAAGTCACACCCCAGAAGTGACTCGAACCCATACTCCCAGAAGCAACGCAACTGGTATGTACAAGACGCCTTAATCCACTTGACCATCACGACCGGACAAAAGGTGATTTGAAAGAATGAGGTGATTTGGTAAAATGCTATGCCCAAGATAACTATCCGAGTGCCGGCGGTGGGGTGGTTCAAATAGCCTCGGCTATCACCTCATTTTGTCCGGTCGTGATGGTCAAGTGGATTAAGGCGTCTTGTACATACCAGTTGCGTTGCTTCTGGGAGTATGGGTTCGTGTCACTTCTGGGGTGTGAGTTTTCAGTTGCATATTGTCCTGGGGACCATTCAGGCTTGTTCGCATTTGTGTTCCTCACGTGTGCCCCAAAGAATGAGGTGATTTGGTAAAATGCTATGCCCAAGATTACTATCCGAGTGCCGGCGGTGGGGTGGTTCAAATAGCCTCGGCTATCACCTCATTTTGTCCGGTCGTGATGGTCAAGTGGATTAAGGCGTCTTGTACATACCAGTTGCGTTGCTTCTGGGAGTATGGGTTCGAGTCACTTCTGGGGTGTGAGTTTTCAGTTGCATATTGTCCTGGGGACCATTCAGGCTTGTTCGCATATATATATATATATATATATATATATATATATATATATATATATATATATATATATATATATATATATATACACACACAAGGCGTAAATTATTTAAGAGATAAACATGTGAAGTGAGTTTGAGAGAGCCTTGTTCTGAAGGTTAAGGCCGTGGGCGAATATATTAATTGTCACTTACCTTGATTTTGGAGGGGCCGGGCGAGGTATCCGATGTTTGCACATCTCCATAATGCTGGGGCGACTATGGGAGCAGGTCTATATGGTCACCATCACACATCTTTGATGGAGGCTTCCAGTAGTGGCTCCGGGCACATCACTGCCATTAATGGATGCCACGGTGACGTCTTTACGGTCTGTCATTTCACTTTGTCTAGCCATCCGTCTATAAATTTGGCAAAATACACCGATAACCCCGATGTGAAAAGTTTCTGAATTGTTATTATTAATTGCAGCCAAATTTCTAGTAGCTTAACCAATGCCAAGTGTTTTTTGGAAGCCTAGTTCCTAGAATCATTACTATTGTTCCTTGCAAGTAAATTAACTATGACAAGCCTATTTGAAAACAAATCATATCAAGAGGAAATTTAAAAAAAAATTATGTATTACAAGCGCATATAATTATTACAGAACATAATTTATATTGCTTACAATGCATGCAAATTTAATTGAATCAAATTACATGTCATTTCTTTCATTTAGTTACATGTGGTTTTACTTTAGTTCATGTCTAATGTTCTGAACTTCATTTTCAAAATTGCTTTTTTGAAATTTGTAAAACTGTTGTATTGCTTTGGGTTCTGAGGATGGAATAAGTCAGCTCAAATAAGATGAGCCATGAACCTACAACCGCAGCTGAATCTCGAAAATCTTGGAATCTCGAAAAATATCATTTTAACACCAGCCAAGCAGAGCTCTGCGGCGTGTATTCACCGAGAAATGAGGTCACTTGTGTGACCTAAATAACCCTCCAGAGGTTGATGATAGGTCATAAGCCCAACACCAAACCATTAAACATTATCCACTTCAATGAAGACTTAATCATAGGCTTGAACCTGGGCAGACGAAGTCCAATATTATGCCCATTCCATATGTGTGTGTGTTAATCAATCACGAAGAAATTAACACATGATGAACAATGTGACAATGTCAGACCACGAAGGAAGGATTAAGATAGGAAATTCCTTAGGTACTTTCGTATTTAATATTACATTTATTTATTTATTTATTTATGCATATACAAGAAGGTACATTGGGAATGTGAGGTTACATAATATGGTAATTACAGTCTTGTAAAGCCACTAGTACGCGCAGCGTTTCGGACAGAAACATCTTCAGAAGGATGTATTATTAATACATCCGGAAGACCTGAAGTATCCGGTATTATTCTGAGGTATCTTCAGAAAAATACCTCCTTCTGAAGATGTATTATTAAATACGAAAGTACTTAAGGAATTTCCAATCTTAATCCTTCGTGGTCTGACATTCTCATCTTATGCTTCATGGCCAATAATTTACACTCCCAATATAAATATCAGTTGTGACTTCATTATGCAACTAATGTCAATGTGAACGTTTGCAATTTGACACTTGACATGTGGGTTTTGTTCCATTTTGTTATTGTAGGCCTTGGCACCATAGATACATAAAGTTCTGAAACTGTCAATACCGCGCAAAATAACGTAATGTAGGTCGTCGAAAATAACGTAACGTCGTCGAAATATCTTACGTAATTGCATTGTGTCACGTAAAAAAGCCGAGGATGGCAGTCACCTATAGCGTACACACGTGTGTCCTTGAGCACAGCTGCCACACGGACCCGCCCACGGCTGACGCTGCACTGCCAGGTTCCACGGGCAGTCCACCCTCCGCCTTCCGGCTCCACTGTACTACGCACACTATAATTGCAGCCTCGTGATTCTCACCAGATATAAGATAAATGAAACACCCTACTTGAAATTTTCTTTGAATATTGTTAACTGTATATGCCATAATTTTAACCGCTAACCTGTAAGATGTGTTACATAAGGGGCTTCGTACGTCCGGCAGCGCAGATATCATCGTAAGCTCCCACGTGCTGCTGTAGCTAATTCTTAAGCTTGGGTCATAATTATATATATTTCTGGAATAAATAGGCTTATTAACATTTTATTTTCATATTAGCCTTTAAATTACCTTATCTTATTTAAACACAACAATTAGGTACAGCGTATCGAACGTAAATTAGTGCAAATTTATTTGACACGTTACACGTATATCAGGTTTTGATTTCTGACCAGAAATTTGAGCCAAATATCCCCAGTTTGCTAACTGTGGGTAGTAACTGGGTGGATGGTAACCTATCCACCGCTGCCCACTGGATAGGGAGCGGTGTGCAGGACAAACATATCAATTGTGACACTTGTTAGTTGCTTAATTTAGGAACTGTACTTGTGGTCGATCTCGAACCCAATGATGATGTGACGATGTACATTACATATTGTTACTAGCTCATCAAGACTGTAACTTGCTTAGCTAAATGTATTTTGGGGTCGGGTTTCTGAGCCCATTATGTGTCTCTGTAACCACTACCGCCCACGAGATGGGTAGTGACAATAAATTTTATTATGTACATTTATTATTATTATTATTACTATATTTATTAATATTAATATATTTATTATTATTTATTATGGGGTGCATAATAATTGAAACTGATTGTTGCCACTGGAGCCAACATATATATTCATATATATATATACATACATATATATACAGTCCTCTCCTCTTTTTTTCCCAACCAGTTGGGCTGGACGGTAGACCGACGGTCTCCCTTCATGCAGGTCGGCGATCAATCCCCGACCGTCCACAAGTGGTTGTGCACCATTCCTTACTTCCCCCCGTCCCATCCCAAATCCTTATCCTGACCTTTTCCCATGTGCTATATAGTCGCAATGGCGTGGTGCTTTCCCCTTGATAATTCCCTTCCCCTCTGCTTTCGTTACCAATCACTTATCGTACCTCCTCCCCCCCCCCCCGGGTAAAATCTAGGTAAATGACGTTGAAGCATTAAACTTTGATCCAGCGTTAATTAAACGTTGGTTAAACGTAGATCAACGTTACTCGAGCGTGTTGCTCGCTGGGTTAATGAGTATCAGAGCGGATGGGTTAGGTCACAAGCACGGCGACGCTGTGTCGACGAGTTCAAGACACTCGTTGGAATCTGTTCGACCTGTTAAATTTATCTTCGTGTTGACCCGTGATTTGTGTATACCATCACCCCCTTCCCTGGGAGTGTCTCGCCCGCTACCTGTGGGCACCAAGCTAGGTCTACTGTTGATTGTTACTGAAGGAACTGTGTTTGGTTCATATACACGTTGAAGGAGCTGTGTTTGGTTCTTATACTCGTTGAAGGAGCTGTGTTTGGTTCATATACTCGTTGAAGGAGCTGTGTTTGGTTCATATACACGTTGAAGGAGCTGTGTTTGGTTCATATACACGTTGAAGGAGCTGTGTTTGGTTCTTATACTCGTTGAAGGAGCTGTGTTTGGTTCATATACTCGTTGAAGGAGCTGTGTTTGGTTCATATACACGTTGAAGGAGCTGTGCTTGGTTCATATACTCGTTGAAGGAGCTGTGTTTGGTTCATATACTCGTTGAAGGAGCTGTGTTTGGTTCATATTTATATTCATATTTGGTTTAAGCAGTCTCCGTGGTGTAGTGGTAAGACACTCGCCTGGCGTTCCGCGAGCGCTATGTCATGGGTTCGTATCCTGGCCGGGGAGGATTTACTGGGCGCAATTCCTTAACTGTAGCCTCTGTTTAACGCAACAGTAAAATGTGTACTTGGATGAAAAAACGATTCTTCGCGGCAGGGGATCGTATTCCAGGGACCATAGGATTAAGGACTTGCCCGAAACGCTACGCGTACTAGTGGCTGTACAAGAATGTAACAACTCTTGTATATATCTCAAAAAAAAAAAAAAAAAATACACGTTGAAGGAGCTGTGTTTGTTTCATATACACGTTGAAGGAGCTGTGTTTGTTTCATATACTCGTTGAAGGAGCTGTGTTTGGTTCATATACACGTTGAAGGAGCTGTGTTTGGTTCATATACACGTTGAAGGAGCTGTGTTTGTTTCATATACACGTTGAAGGAGCTGTGTTTGGTTCATATACACGTTGAAGGAGCTGTGTTTGGTTCATATACACGTTGAAGGAGCTGTGTTTGTTTCATATACACGTTGAAGGAGCTGTGTTTGGTTCATATACACGTTGAAGGAGCTGTGTTTGGTTCATATACACGTTGAAGGAGCTGTGTTTGGTTCATATACACGTTGAAGGAGCTGTGTTTGGTTCATATACACGTTGAAGGAGCTGTGTTTGGTTCATATACACGTTGAAGGAGCTGTGTTTGGTTCATATACACGTTGAAGGAGCTGTGTTTGGTTCATATACACGTTGAAGGAGCTGTGTTTGGTTCATATACACGTTGAAGGAGCTGTGTTTGGTTCACATACTAAGACAGAGTCAGGAAAGCGCCCACACCAGCAAAAATCTATTGAGGAGGAAATTATTCAAAATATTCAGCCATATATATGGAGATACTGCTTTCCTGTCGTCCCTGTTACTCACTTTTAATCCCTGTCACCCACCTGTAATCCCTGTCACCCACCTGTAATCCCTGTCACCCACCTGTAATCCCTGTCACCCACCTGTAATCCCTGTCACCCACCTGCAATCCCTGTCACCCACCTGTAATCTCTGTCACTTACCTGTAATCCCTGTCACTCACCTGTGATTCCTGTCACTCACCTTTAATCTCTGTCACTCACCTGTGATCCCTGTCACTCCCTGTCACTCACCTGTCTTCACCTCCAACAAGGCTAAGGAGTTAAATCGATAGACTTATGACGTCAAAGGTGTTGTGTAAGAATACGGCTCCCGTTCCCCTCGTCTACCCCCTCCCCTCATCACCCCCTTCCCCTCGTCCTCCTCTTCCCCTCGTCTACCCCCTTCCCTTCGTCCACTACCTGCCCCTCGTCCACCCCCTACCCTTTGTCCCACCCTCTCCCCTCGTCTACCCCCTTCGAACCCAGACAGTCAGGGCTCCATGACACGCTAAAGTGCTTGGAGCCCTGGCTGTCTGGCTTCGAATCCTTTAGGAGAAAGGCGTTTTTGGTTATATATATATAAACATTGGCTGCCTATTCTCAACAAGACACATCACTGTATTTTTTTTTTAAATTTGAAAAATATAAATTTAGTTTGGTTACCCCAAAATATATTGGTTTTCTTTTAATATTTTAAATTAAGCCATAAAAAACGAAATAAAAACAATAATTACACGGTAACTTTGCTAAAATGACTTTTCAACTAGACGCCGAACTTTTTTTTTTTTTTTTTTTTTTTTTGAGATATATACAAGAGTTGTTACAGTCTTGTACAGCCACTAGTACGCGTAGCGTTTCGGGCAAGTCCTTAATCCTATGGTCCCTGGAATACGATCCCCTGCCGCGAAGAATCGTTTTTTCATCCAAGTACACATTTTACTGTTGCGTTAAACAGAGGCTACAGTTAAGGAATTACGCCCAGTAAATCCTCCCCGGCCAGGATACGAACCCATGACATAGCGCTCGCGGAACGCCAGGCGAGTGTCTTACCACTACACCACGGAGACTGTAACTCACAATAAAAAAAATCCACTGGGGTGTGAAGCGACGCGAACTCACGACCAAGGCATTGCCAGACGCATATTCTATTACTTTACCACCACTGACTAGTTAAAAGTCATACAGCCGGATTTCTACTGAAATCCTGACGGCTGAGTTAGGGGACCTGACGGCTGAGTGGACAGCGCTCGGCTGGGGTTCGTAGTCCTAAGGATCCGGGTTTGATCCCCGGCGGAGGCTGAAAAAATGCACAGAGTTTCTTTCACTATGATGCACCTGTTCACCTAGCAGTAAATAGGTACCTTGGAGTTAGACAGCTGCTACGGGTTGCTTCCTGAGGATATATGTGGGTGTGTGAAAATTAGGATTAAGGACTTGCCCGAAACACTATGCGTGCTAGTGGCTGTACAAGAATGTAAGAACTCTTGTATATAATGAACAAATCCACAAGGGCCGTGACGAGGATTCGAACCTGCGTCCGAGAGCATCCCAGACACTGCCATAATCGACTGAGCTACGGCATGGTCAAAAGAGTTGAAACCGAAGTTCTACGTCTGAACTTACTGGATCCTGCAGCCTCTCCGAGACACAAACCAGGGTTTTACACAACTCCCCCCTGCACTCGAGCTATGTCAATAGGCCGTTCTCCCTCTTCGCCCTTACTTCATTACTTCATTACACACATAAATCACAATAAGTGATGCACCAAATCATTTGATGCATACAAGTGTCTCTTTTTATATATATATATATATATATATATATATATATATATATATATATATATATATATATATATATATATATATATGGACAACACCCACAAGTGGGACTCGAACCCAGAAAGCACAACTACCTTCCAGTAGCAGGCATAACTAGTATGCTTTAACCCACTACACCATCAGACCTTTCAAAAGAAGTAGATAGTTCGAGATATATATATCTCAAACATCTCTACTTCCCGAAGGCACCAGATGAGTGTGGGGTCAGTCTGCATTTTCCATCAAGCCACTGTCAATGTGAGAGAACTCGTGTCCAGCTTATAAGCCTATACTTGCATAAACCACAAGTGAAGATTAAATAATCTTTGGACAACACCCACCAGTGGGACTCGAACCCAGAAAGCACATCTACCTTCCAGTAGCAGGCATAACTAGTATGCTTTAACCCACTACACCATCAGTA